CGGAGGATGGATGACTTGTGATAGCGTTGCACTTGGTCATCTCAAGTATTAGGTGCCGCCGGACCCGAAGGTCCAAGATTCGTGCAGTGATTCCATTGAATACGCTTTGCAGCTATGGGTGCGTTATCAGAGTTACGGTCAATCCCATTATTTGGTTCAAAGTCTGGCAAAGCCGTTGTGGCGGCTAGTGCTGCTGACTGACTGCCTTGTCTCTGATCAGTATTTCAAAATCAGGATAACTGAATCCCAAGGGTCTCTGACCTGGCTGTTGAATCCATGTCCCGCTTAAGATGATGTTATTGTTGAAAGTACCTATATACATACCATTAAATGTCGCTTACAGAACTATATAGGTCTCTGTTTAAATGACACCAAATAGTAGAAGTTTAGGGAAATTTACTCGTTGTTGTTTATTTTTTTAACTTGTATTTTATATTCAGAATTATTCAGTGTTTTTTTTTTCCTTTTAACATCCTCAAGTTTGATAGAATAAAAATGATCTGAATTTCTTAACCTTGTTTGTCGCTACTATACCGCCATCTACTGACCATTTCGAATTGAATTTCTGTTTCTGAGAAAGAAAAATAAAACTTAATAACTTTTTCACGATTTTTTACTACCTTAAATATAGCTATTATCTTATCCCACGGTACCGTGATAGTTTTCTTTATTTGAGAAAAAAAAAAAAGGCTTACAATGAACGATATTATTTGTTGACAGAAAATTATATTCGAAAACTGAAATATGTAATCCATTGATTTGATTCATTGGTTATTTCTACTTCTAAAACAAACGCCCATAACTTGATCTTCGGTTGTATGTAGAATGTCAGTCATAAATTGTTACATTTACCTGTAATGAAGCCGATAAAACAACAAACTTTTTAAATATTCAAATATGTAGAACTCGCACTGTAATGTTTTTCAAATGTCTAGTAAGTTTCAAAGTTTTGCTTAGGATAACGAGGCTTCTACTTCTTTCTGTACCTGATGTGAGCAATAACATTTTGAAATGTAACTATTTAGAAGTGATCACAAACGTAGCTCTGCTTTCACTGACTATGTACTAATTGTACAGGGTCATCCAACGAGAGATTCTCCACTGACTTCTTGTGGGAAGAATATAACACGTTGTGGTATCTCTCGTTGTAACGGGGATAAAATTAGTTCTCACTGACTATGTACTAATTGTACAGGGTCATCCAACGAGAGATCTCCACTGACTTCTTGTGGGAAGAATATAACACGTTGTGGTATCTCTCGTTGTAACGGAGATAAAAATTAGGATCTTTTTCCACGAGAGCACGTTTTGCTCGTAATGAATAGGTAGTCTTGGTGAGTGATTTAGTAAGTCATTTAGAGACATAAAACTAGAAGTAGATATAACTTACTCAGTCGAGACGAAGTCAATCAGAAGTTCGAGTTTTATTATTAAAGACGTATATAGAGTTACTTAAGGAAGGTAATGAGTATAGTCCACACTCCCAAAGCTGACAATTGAAACAAAAAATGTGGCAAGTCTTCCAGGATGTGATAGGAAACAGAATCTGATAAAACTACCACCTCAGTTCGTCTGAGATAAGACTTGTTCTACAACATTATTGTATGAAATGAATACAGATAACCGCTGCTTAAGCCACTTAGGTGGGAAATGACTCTGAAGATCGCGAGTGACACGGAAAGGGAAAGCACGCGGCCGTCTGTGTGTGTGTTCGCATTCATTGCCTGAGCGTCATGGCTTCGCGAGATTAACCTTACGACCTGCGAAAACGGGCTTTCAATAGCACCTAGGGAGAAAAACACCGAATCCGTGGTTGTCATAACGACGTTAGTTTTTCAAAGAACTGTGTAATCGTTGTGTAGTCGAGTTTTCGCTGTATTTGAATGGCACCTGCACAGGCTAGGTCAAGCCCTCGAACGTAATCCCATCAGATACAGGACATACGCATTTACTTACTGCACCACAGACATGGGTTACCTACAGTTTGTCATAAACAAACAAGGTTAGGACACAAACTTGTTTAGCGTAGATTTGGGCGGACCCTCCTCTCCAGATTTGACTGCCTTGCTGTGGTTAGTTATCCATTACCTCTCTCCCCCCCCCCCGTTGTAAAGCATATCTATTTTTGATATCACTTTCTGCAATTTTGAATTATTTGGGGAACCCCTGAATTGGATTATTTTTTATGATTTTTTAAGAAACAATTGTTTGAAGTGAAAGATAGCTTTTAAATAATAGGTCTCTGTGATATGTATATAACTGAATAATTGGATTATTTTTTATGATTTTTTAAGAAACAATTGTTTGAAGTGAAAGATAGCTTTTAAATAATACGTCTCTGTGATGTGTATATAACTGAATAATTTTTGTGAAGTAGAATGATGATAGAAAAACAATAACAACAAGGAATCTAATAACAATTATTTGTAATAGTGAACAGATCTGGTTGTTATGGTATGTTTAACTACCAAATGAATAACATAGTAAGATATACAGAACTGATTATACAACCCCATATGTGCTAAACAGTAAAAACTTGCATTGATTCTTAACATCATATTAGTAAGTCTAGAATTAGACAAATGAAGCCATTGTATATTTTACTCTGAATAGTCAGAGAGAGAGAAAAAAAAAAGTTTAAAACTGACAATATTTAGTTGTAACTCACTTAAATTTGGCTCAAGTTTTACAGTAAAGTTATTCTAAGAGCAGTTGAGTGAGGGCAAAGGAGAATATGTTATAATATTTCAACCACACTAAATCTGCCATCACCCAATACCAGAACTCATCAGGCCAGCTGGGATACAACAGACATAGTAGGCACTATTTATATCATTAATTCTTATGAACAACTGTTATGGTGTGAACCAGATTAAGCAAGCAAATTGTAATTTTTATCAATTCCATTTAAGTCGGAATATGTTATAATATTTCAACCACACTAAATCTGCCATCACCCAATACCAGAACTCATCAGGCCAGCTGGGATACAACAGACATAGTAGGCACTATTTATATCATTAATTCTTATGAACAACTGTTATGGTGTGAACCAGATTAAGCAAGCAAATTGTAATTTTATCAATTCCATTTAAGTAATTTACTAATCAGATTTACACAGTCAGAAATAATAACACAACATTATTATTACTATTGATATGGATGAGTTATTTTAAATAAAAACTTTTTTTTTTGCACCACATCCTTATTCGTTAGAGCAAGACTTTCCTTATCCTGGTCTTTGTCTCTTGGGCAAGGCCTTGTTTTCACTGGATCTGGCAGAGGTAGTGTGGTTTGACGTAGATTTACACATTTTCCCTTCATTTAACTCTTTAAGTTCTTGGAATTTTATACTGGATCTCATTAGCACTAAGAACATTACTCTTTTATATGTTGCTAGTTGGACTGAGTCACCAGATTGTTAATACTTACACCATTTAAACTTCTGGTCTTTGAAGATCATATGCCAGAAAATTCATAAAATATAATACTGTTGAACGTAGCAAAAAAAGTTCAAATTTTGATGGAAATCTTTGTGTACATACAAAAAAGCTGGTAGAAAAAGTTGAACGTTTTGTAGTATTAAATTTAAACTTTCTATACTGTTCTTTTAATTTTTAAATGTGATGTGCTTATTTCATTTGTTTGTGCATTTGAGGTTCATTCAGAAAGTTTCTAGCCTGATGGAGAAAAAAATGTTCATATAGTTCCCATTTACATTAATACACTAGGTTCAATGTCACTGCAGCTATACTTTGCTCATCTTGTAAAAGTCTTTGTCTTGCATGTCCAGAAACTCTTTGACCTCTCTGATTTCATTCTTTTCCATTTTGAAAATTTTCACTGACCAACTCACTTGAAAAGGTCCTCATAAAAGTTCGGCAAAGAAAGAAAAAAAGGCTGATGACAAAGAAACATAACAAAATAAAATCCAGTAATTTGAACTGTTAACTTGGTTGGGACCTGACGAATCATTAAATTGGTCAGTCTATGAACTTTCTGAAAGCCTCTCATAGATCCATACAGACAGTACTTAATGTCTGCCAGTTCTGAACCTGTTTTGGATATTTTTAAATATAAAACTGAAACACTATAATCAGTCTTAAGACTGTCTCGGTTGCCATGTGAATTGATATTTGACTGATGTAGTCAATTACATTATTCCCTTCAAGCCCTATCCAAAATAATAACCTCAATAAAGTTTTAATTGTTACTTTCCAAGACATAAAATTTCCAATTCCTAAACACACATCTTGATAGTGATCCAATACTTTTTGTAGCTGTGGCATAGGGACTCATAGAATGGCTCTAAGTTTTTTTTTAAGTGCAAACTTTTAGCTCATATCTCCATCTCTGGACTGATTTGCGATCTAATTAAAGCTATGGTTATTGAGGATTCCCTCTTGTTATATAATTAATTGCAAAAGTCCTTTCATAAAAACTGCAAAAAATACTTCTAATCATTAAAGATTAATCTCAGTTTCAACAGTTGGAGCTCATATTTTGTAGAACTTTGGTCCTGTAATTTTTTGAATAGAGAGAGAGATGGAGCTATGTAATGTAAACTTTATTTTTAAAGTAAACAAGATAGATGCTCTTTAGTTTTACCAGCTTACATTGCATTAAATAAGTGTCATTAACCTCTGATCTAATGTTTAAAAAGGATATCCGTGTAACTGCATTTAAGTTTCATAGCAAAAGTGTACTCGCATTTCAAGTTGAATTGTTAAACTTTTGATGTGGTGTAATAAGTTCACTGATACTAACAGTTACTTATACTGGTCTCTTACCTTTGTGGCTTGCATGTAAGTATATATTATAGGTATTAAATAAACATTTAGTACTTCTTGATATTCATGATACTAGTTTAAAAGTAGGCAAATGATGACAAAAATACAGTTTTTTCATTTCTATCATTACTTAATTTTTATTTGTTTATTTTACCAGCATTATCTGTGATATGCTAATGTACTTTTTTCTTTAAAACTTCAATTTTATAGAGATGGCAGCGACGTTGGTTTGTGCTCTACGACGACGGAGAGCTTACTTACTCTGTGGACGAGCATGTAAGTAGACCTTGTCACTTAATCAAAAACTTAAAACTTTCAAAGCTATCATGGTTTCTCGTCTTTTGTGTCTTTCGAAAAACATTATTTACACAGCAGATAGTATATGTGTGTGTTTTATTTGTGACATTCAATATAGAAATGTCATTGTTTCAACACCAATTTTTTATTTATTACATGCTTCTTTGTTAGAAGTGGAAAGACTATGTAATCTTTTATTTAACAGTCGATTATAATCATTTACCTTTATACAGAAGTGTAAGTCCTGAAATGTTATTGAACATTTGTTTTCAAAGGTTGAAGGGAACAGTAACATAAGACTGTGTGATGGTAAGCTTAATGGGAACTCTGTACTCGTACTGCAATAATTGTATTAAAATTGAGGGAACATTTTCAGAATAGGCCAATGAGATACGAAACTTTTAGAAATAAGCAGATGTTTCAGTGAATTTCAGAACCAAAAAAGGCTTAACTATAATTACGTACTAGCTTTTACCAGAAAAGCTGCTAAAAATTCTACAATAATAATTAAATTTAAATAATAAATAGCTTATTTAATGAGTAACAGGCAAGCAACAAAAAGAATTTTTATGTATCACTCTGTCCTAGGTCATCGGGTGGATAACCTAACTGCTAGCGTTTTTTTGACTCTTAATCCCAAAATGTTGATAAAACATATATATTTTAAACAATTTTTTTCTTCCTTTTTATCATCATTGCATGATTTTCTGAAAATGTAGGTAAAGTCTGCATGTCATTAGTTTTGTGGGAAATTTGATGATCATTGTTTCTCTGTAGAAGAACCAACTATGAAAAAATACTGTCGTGTTCTACTCACATTATTTGGGAAGCTTAAAGGAAATATCCAAGCTTTAACTCTTTCAAAAATATTGTTTCTCTGCATTACCTAAATGTTTGGTTTATGAGTCCTTTAATATTTAAGTATTCCTAAAAATATACAGTTGTGTATTTTCAGTGTTTATTCTTTCTGAAAATGTCAGTCTTCTTTGTTTAAATTTTAGTGTTGTTTTTTTTTATTTAATCTTTTCAAAACAAAAATTGTACTTCTAACAGATACAGGTTTTATTCTGTTCCCAGTGAAAATATTTATTTAACTAGAAAGGCCAATATTTGCAAGCAAATGCAATACGTCTTCCCCCCCCCCCCACATTATTCAATAACAATATAGTAGATTTCAAGAGAGAGAGAATGATATTTAAGGCTGAATAAGGAGCCGTAAACTATGATATACATATTTCAGAGGGATACACACCAAAAACGGTATCAGTTTGACCTTTGACCCCCAAAAATTGGAATAGGGACATAAATTAAAAAATCATCCCAGGTGTATTAGACCATTATTTATGCCCTCCAAATTTCAAAACATTTGGCTCAGAAATAAAGTTGTGTGACATTTTTGTTAGCATTTAAAAGAAGAAGAAAGAAGTGTAGCAAATACAATATGTCTTCCTTCGTATGGAAGAGACGAGAATATACGAGATTTTATATCGCACTGTAAATGAAGAATGAGTGTCTTGTGCAGTGAAAAAGAAATTAACAGCCCATAAGTGCATTATGAGGACATTAAACATGATACTCAGGAAAATGTATAGGATAGAGAAAAAAATTACAAAACAAGAAACTTAACCCATTAACTGTGGTAGGAGCAGCTCAGTTGCCATTTTCTGACTCACAGATAAAACTGAGTTGCCATCAATCACAATAAAATGGTAATTTTCGTCAATCGCATAGAGTTATAGTTTTATATGTGCGACTGACGGATATTTCCATCATTCGCAGCTGAGCCATAGAACTTCGGTGACGGAAATATCCGTCATCCGCAATTAATGGGTTAATATATCAAGTTCTTGAAGTAGACACCTTCTTCAGGGTGGAATGGGAATGGGAATAATTTAATTTTTTTTTTTCCACATAGCAACTTGATGTCCTTGATTGAAGAAGTCTTAATAATCCAAATCTTTTGTAAATATAATGCAGTACATTTTAACCTGGTATTTTTACGTATTAACACTGGTTTTGGAAGGTTAAAATTTAAACAGTACACACTTAGTTTTTCAAACTTAACTATCTCATGTCTTCTTGAAGTAGAAAAAATTGATTAAGCTTCCATATAGGAATAGTATTTACTTTCTCCTTGTTACAATTAAAGACAGGGCCCAAGAGAGAAATCCTGGGCCCTGGTGCTTTCCCTGCTTCTGGGCCACTAATCCTCTTTCACCCCCCCCCTCCTCAATTGTGTATATTATTTTTTTCCCCTTGCAAGACTCACCAAAATACAGCATCATCATATATAAATATTACTTTTTTTTTTTTTGGTAGAGAGAGAGGAGGAGGACCTTTGGTGCACCTAGTGCACCCCACCCCTCTCCTGGGCACTGATTATAGCAACTGTTAGAAATATACAAATTATATTTTAAGAAATGATTTTGTGTAGGGTAGGGCATCAGAATATTGTAGTTAGTCAATTACAACATGTGTATAACACCAGAGAATACCTTTTCATTAACTCTGGTGTTTGGTGATGTAATTTATTCATAGATGTTGTTGTTATATGCAAGATTACAGGAGAGCAAAGTCTATTACAAAAATGTTCAGTTTAACACGCTTCATGTATCCTCTTCCTTAAGACATAGTGAACTAGTTACTGTTCTCAGTTACCTCTTTTAGTTTAAAAACAAACAACAAAGCATCAGACTATCTTATATGAGACTCATATAAAACTAGTTTCTGACTACAGAGTAGAGATGTTTTTTAGAACAGTATCGTACACCTGATTTTACTGAATTGTATCTGTTTTACTTCTTTAATCTTGTATTTAGCTGGATCACAATTTTAAAAGATGTAGGTGTATCATGTGACAGATCATAACTTTGCTCCAAAGTCTGAAGTGTTTTACTTAGAAGGTTTAGTGTCAATTATAGAATACATTTACAAGCAGTAACAACTTTTTCCTAGTTGACATAATAATTAAACATTAAGTTGTAAAATTAATAGTGTAAAGCTGTTTTACAAAAAAAAGAAAAATTGATTTAAAAAATTAATATATATATATATATATATATGAAAATGGTTTGAAGATATATGTATAGCAGTTTTATTAGGCTTTTAAGATATACTTACTTTGATATTTTGACATGTTTTATAACTGATAGAGTCTGCCTTTTAATAACTTTTTTGCTTATTGTATATTAAAAAATATTTTGATCAAGGTATCATAATTATATTTTTTTATAATCTTCTAATAAAATGAAAAGCTAAATTTAACCTTGACATTACCCTAATGATGACGACCACGACTCAAAAGCAGTTAGGGTGTCAGGTGAGTTAACAACCCAGTCAGGTCAGCTAGCTAATTAACTCATCCATTTTCTAGCCTGACACTGTACCCCAGGCAGTGATAGACATGAATAAAGTGCTGGAGGTGTCAGATGGGGAGAATGTCACAGGAAACCAGTTTGCAATTGCTGTCACATCCACAGACAAAGTTCACTTTATCAAAGGAACAAGCAAGGAAGAACGAAACTGGTAAGTGAGATTGAACTGTTAACATGGGGCAAGGGGGGCATTTGCTCCTCCCTGGAATTTCAGAAGAAAATTAATTTAAGTAATTTATTTAAAAAAATGTATTAAAAGATAATACTATTTAAATATAAATGACAAAGTTAAGTACACAAAAATATACCATAATCAGCCAGAGCATTGCATTCACCCTTCGAAGCAATCGCTTGCCCCCACCTAGAGTAAATTCTGTGGACACCCATGACTGTTAATGCAGCTTTTAAAAGGTTCGTTCTCTATCAGGTACATGTAATGAAGTCTCGAGTCATGCTGAGGCATTTTACATCCACTAGAAGTTGTGACAATGAAATAGTATGTAAGAAATATTGGTGGTGTTTTTTGAAAAATAAATATAACTTTTTTCTCTGATGTATATGCAAAATATAATGCAAACAGTGTAAAAATTACATACGATAGCTAAGCTACGCACGTCGAAGATTCGTGATTTTTATTTAGTTATATAATTGTTTTATTTGAATATTTGGACTGAGGTGTGCGAAACTGACAACTGCATGAACTGTTGGTTGTATTTTCATTATCTGGTATAACTTAATACAAATATATGTTCACAAATGTTATGACAGTTTGGGGTCTGTGAAAATAGCTAAAACAGTTACTTAACGTGTAATAGTTTATTATTTATTAAACTGGCGATTTTTTGAAAGTCCAAAAATCTAATTTCTTTGTTTTAAATGTTCATATTTACGACAGATATTAAGCACTTTGGCATTATTTTGCTACAAATGCTTCAAGGCCCTCAACTTTCACAGCAGTTATAGAGATGAAACGTGTCTGTGTATAGTATTCTTCAAATTGTTCATCAGCATGCTCGTATTAAGAGTTGTTGGAACGTGACCATGAAGAGGACAGTGCTCGTGGGAGGTACAAATCTAACAAAGGGCGTTGAGTTTTAAGTTACTTAGGTTTGATTTAAAAGGTTCATTAGCAAGTTGTGAGATTAGACTTCTCCACGATGTGTCTGGTGTGTTTCTTTGTTGCTATATGAAATAACTCGTGAAATAGGGGGCCATCGTACAAATTTATTATAAACTCCACATTTACTAAGTTTATCATTTCAACTAAAGAAGTGAATAGCCTTGACTTGTGTTATCCAATTTAATTAATTTTATTTCTATATAACATTTAAGGAGGGATTTTTTTCCATTTTTAATATTAAAAGAACAAAAATAAATAAAACCTCATCCCAGCCACTTTGAAACCATTAAACTGGAACATCAAGTTAACTGTTATGAATTATCATTGCGGGCATTTGCCTCTATAAAGTATCACCATGGGAGGGACCGGTTATAGAAAGTAGTTTAGGCCTTTAGGCTTTTGTAAACCGGAAATGGCTTCTTTTTAATGTTTATTTGTAATTCATTTGTTTTCTTTCTTATGTTGAGACTGATTACAGTTGTCCTACTTGTAAACTTTTGTAGTTTTTGATATTCCTTTTGTTTTTGAAAGTTTAAGTGAAGTGTTTTCTTTTTTCTGTACACCTAACAGGTAGTTTTTTACATTCTATGTACATGACTATATGTTACAGATAACTGGCAACTACCTACTATATAACCAAGGAAGACAAAGGTTTTACTTTCTGTG